ACTGAAGTACATCCCTAGCCTTGTACTCTTTTGATGTTAAACAAAACGACAAATACTATGTTTATCTCAGATGAAGATTTGTTAGATATATTCTGTAAAATGTAATATGAAGCATGAAGTCCTAACCAAAAATGCGGTGCAGAGAATTAATAGAATTTTAATACTGAAAGGAGACTTAGAGTCCATCTTGTCTGCCTCTGGTGGGGAAACTGAAGCCCACGGGTAAAGTGCTAGTTTGCAATAGTCATAACAAGAACACAGGTGTCCTAGCTTCCAGAGAAATGCTCTCTGCAGAAAAAGAAAGTCTGTGTGTATGAGGAAGAGAGAGAGTTCTAAGAGGAAGTGGTGGTAACACCATTTAACATTTCACTTGCAGTGTGTGTCAGTGTTTCCAATGAAGTCAGAACTAGGAAACTTCAGTAATCAGAATTAATTTGAGCCGAGTTCCATTTTGGTTTTAATTTTTCCTGAGCTCTTGACCCTATCCTATATTCTACTTAGCAGGTTTAAATTCCTTGCTGGCCACCTCAACTTGGCATCTACAAATACCAGGATTGTTCCCTACAACCATGATCTTACACTCAAGTGTTGGTCTGCCGTGAAGCCAATCTAGGGATTTCCTACTTAGGATCAGCCTGTCACTGAGAGAGCTGGACTTGTCTCCATGTGATTCCTTTGGCTGAAAATTGAAACCATGTCCTTTGTCTACTCACAACATTTTAGCAAAGGTCACTGAATATTATCTATTGAGGTTTTAGGTGGAAGACTCTGTGGCCATCTAGTGTCATTACTTAGCATTATTAATATCAATGGTAATTCTCTGGAAAATTATAGCCATTAAGTATGCCCTGACACCATTATATCATTATCATTAATTACAATTATAATAATTTGAGAAATTGCGGGATTTTATAATATTACTTAATTGCATGACCACATATTCTTTTATCTTTTGAAAAACCAGGGGTAGACTTGATGGCAAGACACTCTAACAGTAAGCCAAGGTAGCCATCCAGCCCCCTCCACCTCCAGTACAGTTTTTCTGAGTCTTCAGAGAAGTGTTCTGGGACCTCTTTCAGGATGAACTCTCAAATTCCACCTCTAGTAGCTTTGCTGTTTTTTAGCTCTAGTGTGTTATGATTTGACTGTAATTTAATTATAATTGGTGGAGCTTTGCTCATAAGGTGAGTGGCCTAAAAATTCTTTCTTTGCCTTCTAATGAGTCTTTGTTTTTTATTCAAATGAGACATGTAGATGTTTGACATCTTCATGCCCTGACTCTTTCTGCTGTGTGAACCCTCAGCCTTTCTCAGGAAGGTGATATATGTCTGTTTTAACCCTGGAGTGGAGTGGGTATGTGGGAAGAAATGATAGTAGAATGAATCAGACATTATGACCCTATGTACATATATGACTACATGACTAGTGTGACTCTGCATCATGTACAATCAGAAGAATGAGAAGTTACACCCAATTTATGTATGATGTGTCAAAATGCATTGTACTGTCATGTATAACTAATTAGAACATTTTTTTAAAAAGCCACTTAACAACCCTTTGTAGTACTTCCAAGAATTCTTTTTTTTTAAAAAAAAAAAAAAAAAAAAGAAAGATTAGTTAATGGATAACACTAATCCATACTTGACTTAATATATCTGAAAAGCCACAAGCTAGTGCGTCTTAAGTCCTACCCTTACATGCACTGGTGCTCCATGAGTGACCAGTATGTTCCAATGCTAATAGCTTCTCCCAATTCACAGGGAACTGAACTTAGTAATGGAATGTTTAAGGTTTGTGAACTTTTCTCAGTCTTTGGTTTTGTTACACCATCAGAATCTAGGGAAAAGCATCACTTTGTAAAAACTAGATTTTTCTATTTAGTTCTTAGAGTTACCTCCAGTGTTTAAAGTAGCGTTCAGATTCTCTGCCATCCCCAAACACCTTTGAGAACCACTTGTCATTGCTGCACAAAATATACTTCACAAATTCTGTAAAGATTCTTGATGTGTTGTCGCCTTTTTCAGTTTTCTCAAATGAAGTCTCACGAGGAGTGTCGTCAAGGTAATTAATTCTTGGTAGCATTACACTACTTCCCAGATATTTCACCTCTTTTATTATTTCCCTATTTTTTCTATACTTTCTTCTTTGTTTTAAAACCTCTATCATTAGCTGAATTTCTGTTATGTACCGATCATATGCTTCCCAGGTCGCTGGGATTGCAGGCACCCACCACTCCTACTGGCTAACACTTTATTATGAAACAGGCTTTGCATTAGATAATTTTGGCCAGTTGGAGGCTAATGGAAGTGCTCAGAGCTTGTTTAACGTAGATTAGGTTAAGCTACGATGTTTGGCAGAGCAGGTGTATTGAATGTACTTATGATTTAGAGTATTTTCATTTTTTGGTGGGTTTTTCGGGTTGCAGCCCCTCTGTAAGTCAAGGAGCATCAGTAACTCGCCCCAGGTCACATAAGCAATAAATGCTGGGGCCAAGAGATTTTAGTCTTCCTTCCTTCAAAGACCATTATGTTAAGTTCCTCTCCCAACTTTCTCTTCTGCCATATGATCGATCCTCTTTGTTTTTCTGTTTCTTTTTGATTTACATACAGTACAATATGCATATCATAAGAGTTAACCATCTTAACTCTTAAGTGTCCGGTGTAGTGACATTAAGTTCATCGACTTTGTGCTACAGTCATTACTCCATATCCAGAACTCTTGTCAGCTTGTAAAACTGGAACTTTGCACCCATTAAACACTAACTCCGTACTATCTCCTTCCCTCCAGCCCCTGGCCACCACCATTCCTCTTTCCATGTGTGAATCTGATTACTGTAGGACCTCATAAAAGTGGAATTATTTTGTGACTGTCTTATTTCAGTTAGCATAATGACCTCAAAGTTTATCCATGTGGCAAATGTCAGAACTCCTTCTTTGTCAGGAGGATAACTATTCCATTGTGTGTGTGTGTGCCACATTTTGCTTATCTGTCTATTCACTGATGAACACTTGAGTGGCTTCTGCCATTTGGCTCTTCTGACAGTGCTGCTGTGAACATGGGTGCTGCCTTCTGTTTTGAGTGCACATTTCTCTTCTAACTAACTAGTAGGCTTATCTGGGGCCCATTGCCTGTTCCCTCTGACAACACCAAAACCTAGAAAATGACTGCCTAACTGTTGAAGCAAGGGGTCATTCCCCTCTTTATTGGGAGGGACCAGGTATTTGTAGTTTTCTTTTCAGGTTTGGTTTTGCATGATAATGATTGTCATTTGCTTCTGAGTCTATATTTCTGTCCTTTGTTATCCATGGATGAAACTCTTTATACCTTCAGAGGACTTGTGTCAAACAACCAAGCAACACATATTTACTGAGTGCAGGACATTGAGGTGGGGGGAGGCTGAGACAGTGCATAGTCAAGGGGAGTGGAGAGGTGGGAAGCAGAAGTAGAAGTTTGGTTCACAACTTCAGTGTATCTTTAATTTGCAGGTATTAGGTACTTTATCAGTTACTTAAAATAATTTGTAATGTTTACTGTCAGATTCCTTCAAAGGTCAGTTATTCTCTGCTGGAATGATTTTGCCTGTCCTTCTAACCCTCCAACCTGGGACATTTGGTAATGACTGGAAACACTTCTGATTGTCACAAGGGGTATGGGGCATGGCACTACCATCTAGTGAATGGAGGTCAGGGATGCTAATAAACATCTTCCTGCACAAGACAGCAGAAAATTATCTGATCCAGATATAATCAATGCTGAGCTTGAGAAGCCCTGAAATATGAATATTGCTCAATTTATATTGATAATTCATCTAGTAAGGAAAATAAAATGACACCAGTCATTTTCTGAAGAAAAGTGTCTGTGATAATATGGTTACTTGAAATCAAACTATCATTTCTCATGTTATAAATGTGACTATTTACTAATGCAGGATAATTTCAAATGCTTAAGTGAAACTTTAATATCTATAGAAAATTTAGTGAAAATTTCACTATAAAAGCATAACTTAGCATTTAATGTATTAATATCATAATTAATATATATCTTAAAAGTAATATTCACTTTATAAAGAGATGATCATAAACTCATAGCTTATAAACTTACTTAGGATTAGAAAGACATCATGTAACTGGCTCCTCCTGCATATTCTATCTGCATATTGCTTTGTTTAGACTAGCATTATATTTAGATCCTGGTCCCCATACAGATCACTTAGGAGGAAGTGCTAGAGGCTCTATAGGATGTTTTGTAGCATTGATTTAAAATATTCCATGGATAACCCACTTGCATAGCAGATGATGCTAAAAATATAAACAAAATTCATTTCCAATCTGCCCATTTTTCTCATCCAGAATACTAGTGGGGAAACACCTCATTTGGTTACCTACTTTCTGGTCACTGGATTTAAGACTCATTTCTTCCATAAAATGAAACTTGAACAAAGAAAGGAGCTAAAGAATCATTTGGAGGTGTGTAGTCCATGGAGTCACTGAACAGGAAGTTGTCCTGTATGGGAGCCACCAGGGCATGCATGTAAATGCTTACCTAACTAAACAAGCATCTCTTAGGACTGGCTGGAATAATTACAGGGCTTGAAATAAGAACAGAATGCCTCATCACCTATCCCCAGCCTTTTGCACAACTTCAGTGTAGGGCAATGAAAACTGATATTCATAATAAACATCCTGAAATTCTTTCTCTTTTAATAAATAGTTTAGTTGTAGAGATACACAATAACTTTATTTATTTATTTTTTATGTGCTGAGAATTGAATCCAGTGCCTCCCATAGGTCAGGCAAGTGCTCTACCACTGAACCACAACCCCAGCTGAAATTCTTTCTTAATCATCAAAGGAAGAATAAATTCAGGCTTAAGTGTCCTGATTCTATCTGAAAGTTTGTCATAAAAGGGGCTTCCTGCATGTGGACAGTAATTGATCCTCAGATATCTGAACCCCCCCCCATCCCAAAGCTCTACTCAAAGTTCATGTTTGTCTGTTCCAGGACATGGGAAGAAGGCAAGGTGCTCATCTTTGACGACTCCTTTGAGCATGAGGTGTGGCAGGACGCCTCGTCTTTCCGGCTGATATTCATCGTGGATGTGTGGCACCCAGAACTGACTCCCCAGCAGAGACGCAGCCTTCCAGCCATTTAGCAGGAATTCATGCCGACTTGGGACACTCTGGAGAGAGGCTACCTTTCTGGATCCCTTTGATGTGGAGATAGTTCAAATACCGTGGCTCTTAATTCCCTCAACTTGCAGCCTGAAAAATTCTGAGCTTCCTCCCAGGGTTAAAAGATACTAAAGGGAATATTTGCTTCACAGCAATTCATTTAGAAAACACCCTGCTGTGTTTCATCCCATGACAGTACTGATCATATGCCCATATTTAGGGCGAACACTTGATAGCTTCTACCTTGCCAGCCAAAGATATTTTTTCCACACAGAATACGTCTGAATCAGTGAACAATAAGAACATATGTAGAAACTGTGAATGGATTGCTTAAGTTTGTAATTTTTCTATGCATTTATATTTTTCTAAGGTAGCTAAACTATTTTGGCATTACGTACCACTACTTTTTTGTCGACTTTAATGACAAGCTTTGCAAATGCTTTACTTCTAGTCATTTTATAGCAAATTTCCTGGTGAACTCAGACTTCTTTATTTTAATCTTTTTTTTAGTAAAAAACACTCATTAAAATGACCATTTTATTTTCCTAATGCAAAAAGAGAAAAGTGTAATTATGCCTGTAATCTATGACCTGTGCTGATTCTTGCCCTTGAGTCTGTTTGCTTCTTTATCTTCATTGAGCTCCAGTTTTTGCTCTGCTTAGTGTGCTAATGGTGGAAATATTTCAAAAATCTTGCTGCTTTCTAAGGGAAATTTTTTACATTGAAAAAAGGACATGAAATATTTTATATTATGATATCAAAATGTCACATGTAAATTTTTTAATGCCAAGTATTAGGGCTTGCTGCAAATAATGGAAAATGTGCGGAAGTAAAAATTCTTTCAAAGGATAAGTCAATAGGTAGTGGCAAGAGCCTCTCTGCCTTCTGTGACATCATTGATTGGGAATCAAGAGTGTCTTCACCTATTGTAGATCTGAGTGAATGGCAAGAAGATAGCACTTTCCATTCTTTAGATGGTTTGCATATAAATTTTGTAAATATGAAGTAGCAGAGTAGATGATTCCCAGGAATGCTAGGATCTTTGTGCCAAGTGTAGGAGATGAGATTGCTTTCCGCTTCGAAAGAATTTGAAGAACTCTTCCATCTCCCTATCTTGAGAAACTTCTGCCATTTAAACATCATTTTTTAAATAAAAATTAATACTCATACTTAGTTTTAATGTTAGAAATAACTATTGAAAGTGATCTTGCCTGCTCATTCCAAAGACAATCAAGTCAACAATGTAATAAAATACGAATGCATTTGATTTTATGTCTTTAAAATTAAAGCAAAAAGTGTTAGCTATAAGAATGTAATGATATACCTGCACTGAATTCTAAGCCAATATGAACAAAAATGCTACAGAAGTGGCACATAGGTCACTGGATTTCATGCACAAGTAGAAAGAAACACTTGTGCTTTCTTTCCCCTCTAATGACAAAGGAAGAGGCTTTATCTTATTTAACGAGTAATTCTTTAATGCTGAAAGTGAACTTTTTTCCTTGACCTTAATGGCATTAACTTTTGATAGAAGGGCTTGCAAAATATTTTTCGTGTTCCTAAAGTATTTGTCCTGTTACATTTTGACAGTGTTCAAAAATCCCACTAAACCAGATGGAGAGACATGGGAGGGAAAATATCAAAATTAATTACAGAAATAAAAAGGCATTTGTGTTCTTCAGTATTTATTAAACAGAGGAAATGACTGACAAAGGGTAATACAATCCAGTGTTCATGTAGTAACATTCATGTCACTTACTGAATTTGGTTTGCTATGTATATTGCATACACATAAAGAAATTCAAACCATAAGTTCTGATTTTTTGAACCATCATCTTACATTCATTTAATAAAATTCTGGAAAAGAGTAAAAACTAACTCTTAACTTGGCAAATATAATGTGTTATTTAAAATTGGGTCACTACAATAAGATTCTAAATATTTCCAAATGAAAAGCCAGAGTATTATTACTGCCGCAAAGGGCTGTCAATAACTGACTCCCAATAGCCTTTTTAATATTTGTATCCCACATCTGTTTTATAAACCCAAGCAATAAAGTGGATTTTTTCATTCATTTCAATTCTTCCTTTTCCTTACCTGTATATTGGTACATAAGAAAAATATTTCAGATTGCATTCATAGAATTATTTCAGTGTTTTTATCTTGGATTTGAAATGTCTACACAAAATGAACATGTCTTATTTATACTGTGATATGATTGAGGCATTTTTAATTGTTTTAATTTATTTCTTCTTCAAGGGTGAAATATAAAAATGACTTATTATTTTCTCCCAGTAGAAAAAAATTAAAACATTAGATCCATGGAGAAAGAGTGTAATCAATGGTTAAGATTAGCAATATCTATTGGGGGTGATTATGGCCAGCTAAATCACTCACTTCTTTCCTTTGAATTGTTCAGCTAACAAATCAACCCTCCCAAATATTTTCCAAATATTTAAAATGCAAAATCATTTTACTGTCCATTACCAACTAAAATATTTTTATTTGACACTGAGCATTAATTGATCCAACTAATAAATGTCAATGTCATGCTGGTCAAATCAGAGATATCTAAAAATATACAACTGGTCTTGTGAAACATGGCACAAATAAGGATATCATATTCTTTGATATCTGTTCATTTTATATCTAATTTCCTTTGAATGTATAGTTGGAGATTCCATTTCTACAGAGAATAGATAAAGAAATAAAATGATCTTTGGCATTTCATCCTGCATTCCTGGTCTTATCTTAATACTTGCATATTTAGCCATCCATGATTGGATATCTACCCACTCAGCAATGGCTGGGCCATTTCTCCATACCTTCAATGATTGCAGGAGGGTGGGGAGTTAAATGGTTGGGTAACATATTTCTTTGCTGTAGTGGCACAAGTGAGCCAACTTGAATGGATTTATTAATCGCTGATATGTTTTTTCAAAGAGACCCCTTCTCTCTACAGACACATTCTGGACTAATAGCTTCTCAGGATGCCTATGGTACACCCCATTGCTAAGATGAAATAATCATATTTCAAACTGCATGTGCCATCCTTTGAAGTCAGCTCATCATATACAGCTGGTGACCTAACAAAAAGATGTAAATTCAAAATCATTTTTCGCAGGATATCAAAATAAGAAAGCTTTGCAAATAGCCAGACCTATGAGAATGTGCTCTTAGGCTGAACAATTTGATGCTGGTGATGAGGTCAAAGAAAATAATTCAATAAAAATGGAAATTAGTGGAGATACTGTTTTCTCAGGGTTCTGCATTGCATTAATCTTGATACTCATCTCTGCACAGTTTGACTCTGGTGTGTTTACTTAATTTGCAAAAACTGAAGAAGATTCCTGTGTGATTTCTCAGAAAAATCATTGTCCTAATGCAGTATGTAAATCAAATTTAGTTTTTCACTTTTTAAATTCATTTGATACTTTAAGTGTAGTGGGGGAGAGAATTTTTTTTTAACATAAAAGCCAAAAATCTTGCTTCATCTTCCAATCCCCTTATTTTTAAAAAAAATAAAAGAAAGAAAGAAAGAAAAAATTAAAAAAAAAAAAAAAAGCATCTCTCAAATCCTTGTTCAACTTTGGCTGCTCAGACCCTTGGCTGGTGACAGTCATCTCTGGGGTCAAGAGTGGAGGACCTCGCGTCGGGCAGGATGCACATGTCCATGTGGGTCGGTTGCGCGTGTGCTTCCTGTTTAGCTGATAGCACTGAAGGCCGGTGTGCAGGAGCATCGGGGTGACTCTGGGTTCAGTCCAGTGCCAAGAGAGGCTGAGTGTTCTCATTCTCTCCCTTCTCCTCATGTTTCAGGGTCCCAGCTTCTACAACGGACTGAGATCTAATGAAGAGGGAGAGAAAAACACATTTACAAACAACTCATGGTGGCAACAATTTTGAAGCCTTGGGTGCATTCTGAATTTCTATTCCCCTCTCTAATCAGAACACTCAAAAGAACTATTTAATTTTTCCCTTTGGGAATCTCTGCATTTCTGCATTTCTACATTTTCCTGCATTTCTACACCATGTTTTTATGGAGAGAAACATTGGAGTCTTGGGATCTTCACAGAAATTCCTTCTGTTGGGGAGAAACGTATACAATGGAAACAATAATAGCATCCTCCCTTAGGGGTGTGAAAATGGAATAAGTTCATAAATGTACAGAACTTCTTAGAATAATGCCAGGTGTATACATAACAAATTTTAGTGTTATTACATGTTATATTGGGGGATCTCAAGACCACCTTTATATTTGATAATTTGATAGGACTCATAAGACACAGCAAAATTGTTACACTCACAGTTATGGTGTATTACAGCAAAAAGATACATTAAAAATCAGCAAAAGTACAAAGGTGCATGGGGTGGAGTCAAAGCGACCAGGTGTAAGCTTCTGGCTGTCTTACCAGTAACATGATATGGACAGAGCTTAAATTTCTCAGTACTGATATTTGACAATATATGCAAGTGTTATCAGTCAAGGAAGCTTCCTGGTTAGTGTCCAGAGTTTTTATTGGGGGGTTGGTGAGTCACATAGGCCTGCAATTCCTGTAACTGACCTTAGCTACTCAATCTTCAGCCTCTGTCCCCCACCTACCTTCCAGAAGATATCAAACGGATACAGTGTTACCTAAAGTTAGGTATACCAAAATTAGGTTTACAGCCATTTGCTGTAAAATCACACTGTTAGCATAAACTATCTGGCAAAGCCTAAAGCCTTAGATGTACAAAGACGTTCTTATGAGGCATGCTATTCCAAGGGCTCAGAGGACCCAGTCAAAGTCCAGTCCTGAGACTTTTAGATTGTGCAGGGTTTGGATAACTCAGGTTCGCTGAGCTCACTATTTACTGCGTGTGTGTGTGTGTGTGTGTGTGTGTGTGTGTATATATAATTTTTACATGTTTATATGAAAATTATGCTCATTTAAATAATCCAATTTAATAATTTGTCAATGTTTCAAATAACTTGGTTTTAGTATGTGAACATCTATTGAACATTTATTGCATGCATATCTTATGATCTTTGTCAGCTGGAAAATAATTTCAGTTTTAATTACTCAAAGATTTTGGAAAGAGATCATTATTACTCCAATATAAAAGGACAAATCATAAATTAAAGATCATTACTATTATTGCAACAATGGTGACAATAGGAGAGTGTTCCATAAATGTTTACTTCAATTTCATGCCAGATGATTTATGTAAATTATCAGTTTTAGTTCTTAGCAACAATTGTGGGAGGCAGGTAATGCTTCTATTTCATAGGAAAGAAAATAAAGGTTCAGAGCATTTTAAGAATTTCTCTAATCTGTACAGCCATTAAGGGGGGCAGAACCTAACTTTACCTTCTTATCTTTTTAATGGTCTTAACATCATATATAAGTTTCTGATGACCCCAAACAAAGTGTTTACAAAGTACATAGAAACATTAAAAATCCAATAAAATTTGGTGTTATATATCCCAAGATCCACAGAATGTTTAGACACAGGGGCAGAGTTGTGACTAATCAGTATAATTGCCTCAAAATAATTGGTTTCTACTATAAATGTAATTTGTCCAAATGACCCAACTTTAGATACCAAGCCCAACCTTTGAGAGTAGAATGGATTCATTTACTGCCTTGATGAGATAGAAGAAGCCTATGTACTAGTTTAGAGCCAGCTCTCTGACATCTTCCCTATGCAATTTTCATTGTTTTAGCTAAGGGCCGTGTGTGTGTGTGTGTGTGTGTGTGTGTGTAGTGTTGATTGATACAAGGAACAGAAAAGCTTAAAATTCAGAAGACATTAAAACAAGCAATAAATATGACAACCCAGGAGCACAACTGTCCACATTGGCTACCTCCTTCCAGCACCTTGGACAGCTGCCTAACTATTTTGCCCTGAGGTCCTTGTGAGAATGGAGGGAACTGGTCATCGTTTACTCTTAGAAACTTTGAACCACAATTCTCTTACTCTGTCATGTGGGTTGATTTTATTTTATTACATAGCATGTGAACCACAGGCAGCATTCAAGTTTCATCTATAATTATAGCTGAAGATTCTTCTAGGTCAATCTGGTAGGAGATCCTTAATAAGGGGCCATACACACCTCCTCTTGGACATATTCAACATGAGAAACCTACTCCCCTATCCCCTTCTGAAGTTTTCCCTTGCATTGAACCCCAATCTTCCTTTCAAAACTTTATGTACTGTTTCTGGCTCTGCTTTGGAACCATCAAATTGTCATCATCCCCTTGTGTCCGTGGGGGATTGGTTTCAGGATCCACATGGATATCAAAATCACAAATGCTCAAGACCCTTATATAAAATGGCATAGTATTTGCATACAACCTATGCACATCCTCTTGCATAAATCATCTGTAGATTACTCATGATACCTATTACAATGTATGTTGCTATGCTGTGTTGTTTAGGAAATGATGACAAGAAAAACTGTTTATAGCTGTTCAGTACAAACAAAACATAAATATGGTGGGCCTAAGTATACAGTACACATCAACAGCAATGAAATGTTTTTCCCTGAAAATGCTTTCTGTAGCCAGTCCAATCCATGATATGGAACCCCCAATACAGAAGCCTGATCATCTATACCATCCATTCAGTAGTCCATATAACAGTTCTTTAAATATTTGTCTGTGCCTTCCAGCCATACCACGTCCCTCACAGAAGTTAATCAAATACCTCTTGTGACAAGATCTCTAGACCTTACCACCTCCATACTTTTCTTTCTCTATCAGTTGTATGGATTACCCATTGTAGTCCTGATGTGACCTCAGAGTAGGGTGAAATGATTGCTTCCTTTATTTTTTATTTTGGTACACTTTATTGAGCTTATCTAGAATCATATTAGTCTTGTTGGCACTAATGTGACAAAAACAATGAAAAGCTAACTGTATTTATACATACTCCTGTTCACCCATTTTTCTCCCATCTTGAAGGTGAGTATGAAATTTTATCTTTTTGAATTTGCCTATGTTTTCAACCTATCTCCATTCTTTTGGGTCCTACATTTGTTTATCCATCCAAGTTATTATCTGTGACTTTAATGAGTATTGAGTTTGTGTCTACACTTTCCCTTCCCCTGCTATAGAAAGCATTTATGGAGAAAATCAACAAATTCCCAAATAATGAGTTTTTAATCATCTGTTCACCCTGACTCATGCTAAGAAATTCTTGGGAACATCTGCTATATGCCAAAGACTATGAACAAATGTGTAGAAACCTTCATTCTGTTATGGAAACACTGCTTCAGCTACCCAGCCATAAACTTACAGACAGACTTGCATTCACTGAACACTCACCCTAAATCCAGCAGCTGGGTAGAGGCAGTTTGGGACAGAGAAAGTGTTAATAGCTAAAGAAGGAAACGAAGGAAGTGGAATCTATCATCCACACAGTGACATCACTCACCATCTTTGCTCATGTGACAAATACTCACTCTCCCCTCCACAAGGAGTAAAACTGGGACTTACATTATTTCTTTCAGTGATATACTGTAAATGAACATCTGGAAGACAATCTGTCTTATCTCTGCCAATAATCTTAATACCTTCATTGAATGGTAATTTTATGGTTTGGATGTGAGTTGTCCCCCAAAAGCTCATGTGTGAGACAATGCAAGAAGGTTTGGAGGAAAAATAATCGGGCTATAACCTTAGCCTAATCAGTGAATTGATCCCTGATGGGACTGATGGGATTAACTGAGTTGTAACTGGAGGCAGGTGGGATATTGGGACATGGCTTTGGGGTAGATATTGTGTATCTAGAGAGTGAAGTCTCTCTCTCTCTCTCTCTCTCTCCCTCTCTCCCTCTTTTCCTCCCTCCCTCCTTCCCTTCCTTCCTCCCTCCCTCTCTCCCTCTCTCCCCTCCCCCTCTCCTCTGCTTCCTGTTCACCATGTGAGCTGGTTCCCTCTTGCCACACTCCTCAGCCATGATGTTCTTTGCCTCACCTGGAGCCCTAAGGAATGGATCTGGATTCTATGGAATAAGATCTCTGAAACCATGAGTCTTCAAATAAACCTTTCCTCCTTTGCAGCTATTCTGGTTGGGTCATTCAGTCACAGTAGCATCAATAGCTGACTAAAACAGTAAGCTAAAAGAGAACAATTCTCAGATGCTGAGCATGAGGAGTCAAACATAACATTTTTATCCTAGTCTATGTTTTTCCTGATTGAGAAAATGACCATAGCCTCTTTAGATTCAACATAATTTGATTTCCTTGGTCACACAATGAGCATTTGATATAAGTAACACATTATATTATAAATATTTTAAATTCACTGGAAAAAGTAGAAAGAAAAATATTGCTTTTCAAATAATCTAATATTTTTAAAAGATGTCAAGAGAAAAACCTTTCTTAAATCTTATTCTTAGTCCATTTGAGTGAGTCAAAATACTCTCTGGGAAAACTAACCAACTGCTGATTGATAAAAATGTCTCCACCATTGTGTCCTTAGTTGCTGAGCCATGGAGAAGCCACTTGCCCTGAGGTTTTGTTGTCTCGTTCACTCATGGTGGTGACCTCTCCATTCAGTGGCTTTGCCTTCTCACAGTGAGTTTAACACTTCTGCTAAAATAAACATTTCTCTTGGGTCCTCTTTCCACATTGAAAGCCAGCTTAACCTTGTGATTTTTGCTATTTCAGCCATCATTATATTAGTGGGGCAGCAGGCAACTCAAAGAAAGTTTTCACTATAGCTTGATAGCCACAGTTTTCCTCGTATCTTTGTCTGTCTGCCTTTCTCTCTCTTTTCTTCCCTGTCTTCTTCTCTACATCCTCCTTTGCCTCCTCCTTTTATCTTTTCATTGGTTTTTCCCCAAATTGGAACTTTATCCACT